TCATGAGGCTCAATGTAGAGCTACTAGACACGCACAATGTTATGGGCTGAACTGTGGATAAAACGACAAGGCGGCGAGCACCATAGGTAGTACCCCCCGCGTGGTGCGACTCATGCATATTATAGTTTTCAGACCCGGCCGAGAAGTTCCTGCTTACAGGTCTGTTGCAGATAGTCTCTCTGGCAGCTCATCTCGTCCATTTTGGTGATTGTTGGATGCGTCTTGAGGAGGTTGTTGGTAGTAAAGTCGTACCTTGGTCCTTCCTCCGTATTCCCATATCAGGCATAGAGTCCGAAGTCATTGTTAGCAATACCGTCACTAATCCCTTCATTAGTCGTGGCCAAACATCGACCGAACTCGGTAAGCCCCGGCAAACACTGTTTCCCGACTGTTAACTCGATGGGGTTGACCATTGCGGTCCATCTCAGTTCGAGTACCATCATCCGGGGAGCATCACGACCTTCCGCCGTTCGTCGCCAGGTCGAGATCAGCACATCAATTCGCAAAGAGCAGTTACGAAGGCCTCTCCAGAGGGGTCCGTCAATTTGGACGATAGTCCTATCAGTTGTTAATCGCTGCATTTACCATCTAAAAGAAGGGCATTGTAGCAACACTTTTTGTACTTCATCATCACAAACTTTTTACTCCATCTCAAAGGTTCGTCTCATTTCACATATCAATACATTGTTGCGTTCATAGTAGTACCCAGACAAGCAGGTCAAAGTTGCTGATAGCTCAATAGATAAATGACATATCGATTTGACGTGATAACCTTAGAGTTGACACGGAGCCTAGAGAACGACCGAATGTAGAACGTATTCACTGTAGAATGTGGATGCACAACTAACCGTCGCGGGATATATTGTAAAAAGGGAAGTTGAGGATGGCAATACTCTCCCGTGATCTCTGCAAGTGCCATGAACCCTAACCTCGGTGTATGAATATCTCTTGGCGATGAGATACGTCACGGTTCGTCCGGCAATGCCACAGTAGCATAAGATTGAACAGTAGGACAGTCGAATAACAGGCGGACATCATGATAATATCATTATCGAGACCAGCATATGTTATTTACTTGACGTTCCATTATTCCATTACAGAGTGCATCTTTATGGTATCTTATTCAATGCTGTCTGTCACCTATAACTTTGAGATTCAGAAGTTGTTTTGTAACCTATAGTGTAGCAGAGTTTTCACTGCTTCTCTAACTGTTTGGATCACTTGGTGTGTAAGGTCGAATCCTCGGGTGCGGCTAGCGTGACGCTGTTGTGTGAGGTCCTGGTGTCTACAATTGTGAGGTTTCACTGTCTTAATGTTATCTCTTGTTGTCTATCGAGATTCTGCCTTCAGTCAGAATTTTACTCCATGCATTTCCATCGTCATCACAAGCATCGTATCTCTCGCTGGGTGCTCAACAAGCAGTGTTCGAGTGTCAGACGAGGTGCGAAGTCGGTGTTCCCTTCCAGAAAGTCCAAGTCGAGTACCGATCTCCTCGCCAACTCAGAATCCACCAACGTGAAGGCCACCTGTGGGCAATCTGTGCGGCGATAATCTCGCATTCCTTTGGTATGGTCTCTGAACTGCTGACGTGTCTGCTAGCGGCCACTGATGGGTTCTGTAGAATATTCTACTGCTCTGTATAACTTACGATGATACTATGTATAAGATCTATTCGTGTGACTGGTACTTTACAGCTGAGGATGACGACGAGCTGTTAGACTTGGCTTATGTGTAAGAACGTTTTGGTCGGTATATAATCATGTCATCCAGGAGGATGATTCGAACATGGAAACCTTTCAAGCACTCCGATTCCGTCCCATGTTGTTGGCCTCTCGTATGGGCGTCCGTTTTGTTGTTCGCATGTCATCCGGCCGGAGTTGGGGAGCTAAGAACAGGATTTCCGGAGTTGGGGAGCTAAGAACAGGATCTCCCGTAGGAGTACGGCTTCTTGTAGTTATATTCATTTGGTTTTTTATTGTAGAGTAACCCATTCTTCGCGACCGCATCTTCCTTCCCATTCATTTGTACGGTTATCTGATACCATCAATTCTTGTGAAATCCGATTCTCAAGTTGTTCAAGTCATTGCGTTCAAACATAAAGTAAATTAATACATAGTTATATGTCAATGATGTCAAGTACGGAGTAGTGAAGGACTTCTTCCGAAGAAGTGTCCTCCTGTGTTGCTTTCGGGTGGAACTACTGTATATACACAAGAGAAATCATCCGACTATCCTTCGAAGCACTCCGAAACTCAATCCAGTGATCTACAAAATGCACTTATGGCGTCTCATAATCTTGAACGATTAAATCTTTAAACTGCACTGGCGATAACCCAAGAAACCATCGTAGGAATGAAGATAGAAAGCACACGACGGGAATCAACTTGTTACAAAAGATATCTCGCTAGCATCTTCTACTCTGTTCGGCAGCTTGTAGCGTCAAGGTGATAATTTTGGATACAATCAGTATAGTTCATCTGTTGAGAGAATGGATCACCATAGAAACATCGAGACCATTCCCAATTATGTATGGCATATAGCGTACCGTTAACATCGAACAACTTATTGTACTGCTCCTGTGTGACGATACCTGTCGGGACCATCAAACTAGTGAGATCTTCTAACTGATCCCACACATACTCGATACCACCATCAGGATCGGGATATTTACTCGTATCATAAGCGCACATAGAAAGTTTACCGCAACCATTACCCATCTCGCAGGAGCCTTCGACCATGATAGTGATCTTCGCCCTCAGGTCCTCCCATCCGGGCTGCGTACACACGACGCATTGGTCTGTCATCATCCACTGCATACGCTCCAACAAACCATCATTGTTAGTGCCATTAACCGAGTTACGGTATAGCATCATGAGTGCCCTATCAGCATTCTGCATGACATAAGTAGTTTCTTGTTGATTGGGCTCACCCTCGATAGTACTACCTACAAAGATGGAATTGGGTAGATAACCCATACCCTCGGTAACATTAGCAATCATCTCTCTCGAACTGGTCAAAGCTTGTAAGTAGTAATTATCAGGGACATGCTCCACATCAAAACTGATACCAATAGGTGCAATCTCTGCCATATCCTGGGCAGAAACCGAGCGAATAAGGAATTGCTCGAAAGTGTTTACGAAGGCGCACATCTTTTGACCATCCCTTTCGGTGACATCACCATAAGTCAACCAAATGATAGCATCGTTCCCACTATCCTGACGCCACTTCTTCATCCAAGCAACCAATTGCGGTTGGTACTTGATGATGTTGTAGTTTGTAGGATCAGCCACGTTGATGTAAAGCTCACCACAATTCCACGTCCTGCCCATATCACTTGAAATGAAGTCAGTTAGAGCGGGATCTCCTTCACTCCAGTAATCTTGAGACCAGGAATAAATGCCTATCGGGCGACCAGTGCATGCATTGGTAGGTGGGGGTCTAGTTGTTGGAGGGGGGCCTGTGGTCTTAGGGAACGTCGCCTGCTGATTCGGGCCCGAGGGTAATTGAGGAGGTAGAGTCTCAGGGCTACTGTCACTACCCGAGTCGGTTGAACAACCAGAAAAGCAAAATGCCAATATGACCGACACCAACGCCGGGAAGAATTTCATATTCATAACAGTATGGTGCTACCTTCCAAGTGCAATTCACAGCGAGGTATTGTGAGGAGTGTAACACAACTTGGCTTCGTTGTACTGTCCCGCGTTGTGCATCTACCAGGATCGAAAGTCGATGATGCTTCTAGGAGGTGATACACATGGAGCCAATGTAAGCTTGTAACTATTTCGTGTACATTCTCTCATCGCTGTAATTTGATAACTCTGTGGAGTATGAAGATACATTACGGTGGGGGTGATAACACAAGAATTGTCCCAGATTCGACTTGAATTCTCGACGCTGTTGTTGAATTTTGGTAGAACATCAATCGTGATTTATGTTTCGGTAAACTGGATTCTATGGGACATGATTCTAAGTGATTGAAGACTTCACATGACCAACCTCGAATTTCAGGATCAGTTCGTGAGATCCTTCATGTAATACGTGACGTATTATACGTCATCGTGATGGCTGGAAACTAGTTGCAAACCTAACGGATAGTGTAGTATAGTGTGATACGTGTTATGATATTTAGTCGGCCACAGTCTACTCTACCCCTAACGATATCACATCGGGAATGATGGATTTGGGTGGGACACAATAGTTGACCAATCTATAGTTCTAACCGTGGTCCTTGACTCACTACAAATTTGGAGACGAAGCCTTGTGTGGTCTCTAGCGAGATTATCCCCTTCGATCGCGCTAGGATACGACCTATATTGAGTACCACAGGTTTCTTTCTTATCTCATATCCTACTAGTTCCTATAATGAGGTGGTCTACTGCAGCATCGGCTACTTGTACGTTACTCATGTTCGGCATGCAAGGATGTTCGACAACAGGCGGTAGTAAAGGTAGTGGGAGTTTGCCATCCGCTCTCCCTGATGACCCTAACCAACCAGTGACATTCCCTGCTAGTACTCCTTTCCCACCAACTGCTAGGCCAATATCCTCTGATGCGTGTAGTGGGAATAAGATTGGTACCTATACCTGGTCTCAGAGCTATTGGAGGGAAGGTGATGATTCCTTGACCAACTTTGCTAAAAGTGATATGGGCCGTCAGTGGAATTGTGGAGATTTGTATATCAACATTGCTGATGCCTCGAACTATAATATCATTAAGGATCAGACTAAGCTCGTAAGCTGGATGAAGAAGTGGCGTCAGGAGACTGGTAACAACGGCGTCATCTGGCTTACTTATGGTGATGTTGTCGATAAGAATGGCGAGAAGATGGTGGGATTCGTGACGACCTTCGAGCAGTTCCTCATGCGTTCCGTGTCAGCGCAGACTATGGCTGAAATATCCCCTATTGGTATCAGCTTTGATGTTGAGCATATTGCCGATGAATATTATAAAGAGGCCCTCACGAAGTCCCATGACATGATTAACGAAGTGACTCAGGGTATGGGGTATCTACCTAACTCCATTTACGTTGATAGTACCATCGAGGGTGAGGAGAACTCTCAGGAGACTGAATACGTTATGCGCTATGCAGACCACGCCCTTATGATGTTGTACAGAAATGAATTAGGTGGTAGTTATGAGGATGATCTCCTCGATCGTATGAAGTGGATGATGACCGAGCAATGCACCGTATGCACTAAGCCTGGTTGGGAGGATCTCAAGGCTAAGATTACCATTATGGTCGAAGGCTCGTGTAAGATGGGCCATGGGTGTGGCAAGTTGTCGATGTGCGCTAAGGATACCTCCTCTTATCCCGACGCTAATGGTGGCATCGAGTATATATGGAATACCCTCAACAATCTGACCAAACGTATGGTAGAGGAGGGTATCGTCACCCAAGAGCAGTTCGATCATCTCTTTGACGTCAATGGTACACTGTTCGCGGTCCATAACTGGGAATGGTCTCGCTGTTTTTATGGAGATAGTTACTCTCAAGACATGGGCTTCTCCGTTTGTAAGGATTATCATTCTATGGCTGCTGATTGCCGTCTCAAATAGATAGATATCTTTAGTACGTTATCGTTGTGCTTCGTATAGCACTCACTTTGACGGTGTTTCACTTGATGTTCTTTGTACACTGTTCACTAGGTTGTGATGTGAATATAATCCGTCCTATCTTTCACATGTGAATCGGCCCCCATTGTGTTGATGGTCAGTGAACGGAAAAACGCATAGAATCTGAGAAATGACTGAGCTTGTTATGAGCCAACATATCACATTCGTAGCAAACATCACTCAAACACTAATCACATCTGAAGCAGCCCTCTGTGAAGTCAGTTCCACAGAATTTGCATGTATAGAACTTGGGGTAGTCTACTATTGGTAACGAGATGTACCTATAATGCACTCAACGACTCGGGAAGTACAAACTCGTTTGCGTTGGCACAAAGTAAATGTGTCGATGATGTTTCTTCAGTGCATCATCATCCAAAAAGGGGAGTCTACATACTGGACACTTAGCTGATATCTCACAGACTGGGCTGTGACACTGTGGACAAATGTAACTGATTGTAGGTACAACTCATCACCATCACGACACTGTTGTGAAAGGCTTATACAGAGGTTTGTTGTAGCCTATTGTGACACATACATTCCATTGGTAGATCCGTTGTACTGTTACCATCCCATGATCTGGGGAGTCCATTTTGATATAGCTGGGAGAACTAACCCAGTTTGGTGGGGTGAGACGCCGTGATTACCCCAGACTTGAGAATTGGTAGTCAGCAGAGAACTTACTCTGCATTAATCGTTTGAAATGTATAGGACTAGTAGAAACAAACAAGGCGCCACCAGTCATCTCTACGACTTTCCGTAACGCATATAATTCTGGTGATAGTGATATCACAGACACCTGGGTTGAATGATCACGTATGGCCAAGTATTGGGACATGGATTACCCACACTGAGTTGGGCTTGGTTTCCTCTATAAGCCCATCAGCACAGTCTGGTATGGGCTGCTTTCCACTGCTAGGTGGATCTACTGAGTGCAACAAACCCCACGTTATTAACATCTCACGTGTGTCTGATAAGGATCGTAGTCCACAAGGACGGACAGGTTACTGATAGGGTTGAGGTCGAAGAATTGGGGGATGAAATCAAGACAATGATGCGATACTATGAAATCTAACCTGAGTTCATCGGAGAATGACTCCCGCGTGATCCCCCTGAGCTCATATCCACTACCAAGTATAGGAACCGTAGTAGGCCTCTCATCAAGGCCATTGACTACTTGTGAGCTAGTTCGCCATCCTTACCGGTAGAGACAGGGAGGACACCATCGTAGTTCCGTGGGTACCTGATCAGGCGATCTACTACAAAATATGGATAGGTATAACGCGTTACTTCCGAGCAATGGAAGCTTCATCTCGCACTACCAGCTTGCCGTGCCTGAAGACACAGTACTCTACCGCATCCATATTCCATGCACGATACTGGTCTTTGGTGACCATGTTGATCCAACATGGTCACCATGGCACATGGTGATCCGGACCCCTCTTTAATGCGAGATACCCACTCACGAGAAGTCCAATACTCGCTCGTCGCATATGATGGCGTCTACTGATACGCTGGTCATTGCAAATACTCTCCCGACTCCTTCAATCATGTAAGTACCGATTAGGTGTCCGAATGGGCACACTGGAATACTTCGCCCCTGTCAAATTACTATTCCTGTACTGTCATGACGATATATATCAGGAGGAATTCCTCCACGAGGCGTCGAGTACGCATTACCAATAATACCATGGTTGGGGATGCGGCTTCGCCATGGGACCAACACCAAGATCAATCAGCTCTACAGACCTGGTACATTGTGTAATATGCCTCGTAAATAATCAATACGTTCCATTATTACAATGTATCGCGCAGAGCTTGACAGGTCAACCAGAAACCCAAACTGTTATCCAAGGCCGAACTGTTATCCAAGGCCGAGCTGTTATCCAAGGCCGAACTGTTATCCACGGCCGAGCTGTTATCCACGGCCGAACTGTTATCCAAGGCCGAACTGTAAGGTCGAAGAGCTTTCAGTCGCCCTCCATATTTTTGTAGGGACTTCTGTCACTGAAAACGGTTCCTTGGAATTCTCACACTCTCCTTAGTGAAAGGACTTTAATCCGACCAGTTTCCAGAGAACGGTATTACAGTGCGTCTGATGTAGCATCGAGGGGGATGGCTAGGTCCAATCACAGCCTTAGATTCATGGATCGCTATTGCCCAACTGACGTCTTGTCCAGATCCCGGGCTCGGTCGGATCTGGAAGTTAGCGACCGCCCATTGAATCAGAAACGGTTGGTCAACCAGTGGTGATGACAGATATTTGGTTTGGTTTTGATGATCTTTGGGACTCCTGTAGCGTGGTATATAAGCAATTAATAATGGGTTAGTGATAGTGTGCACGCATGAGTCCGTGTTGAGCCGTAGCCATCTGGCTCAAGCCGTAGCCATCTGGCTCAAGGCTCAAGTTCGTTTTGTTCTAATCTCCACTCTCCCCTCCGTATCGCGTTCCTCAGTGCTGGGAAGGTTCAACTAACATGGTGACAGCTGAGAACAACGACCCATCAGTGGGGGGCTCTCAACACTCGGTCGACTACAACAAAGACGAGGCGACGATCAAAAGAGAGCTCACAACCAAGAGAAGAGAGCGAGGACGTATACGAGGGAAACTTATGAGAGTGCGAGAGTCCATCAGCAATATCGTGGTGGATGATGATAACGACATACCGGAAGCGCTAGAGACCCTGGAGGTCCAAGAAAGTCTTCTGCAAGACCAGTTACGACGCGTCGAGGTTGATATCGCCAAGCTAGAGGAGGACAGTCTTCTTGTCCTACGCACGCTGGCACCAGCTAGTGTGAGGTCCAGAGCGTCGTCATCAGCGACATCATCCCACCATCCCGTCATATCTGTTAGTCTTAACGGCGACGAGGGAGCTGACAATGGCGAGACGGGTGATGGAAACATGTCTATGGCTCCCTTAGGGGAGGACAAGGTGACCGAGACCGTCATGGAGCCTGTTACTTTGGGAATGACATCTGGTGGTGTGGACTATAGAAAACTACCGGTTCGACAACATTCAGAAGGAGGAGGCAAAGACCGGTCTGGAACAAGGGTCAACAACGTACAATGTCGGCCGTCAATCCGTTTTCCGGAATCCCAACTGATGGAGCACGAGGAGACCAGGAACTGCCAAGTAAGAAACCGGGGGACGGGCGTTACGGCGGGACTAGTTTCGAAGTTGGTGATGCCAAAATGTCGTAGTGTAGTGTCCTTGAGGAGTCACCTAGACGTGTGTGAAGCAATCCTTGTGGAAGCGGGCGCTGGGGAATTTGTGACGCACTGTGCAGTTATGAGTGGTTCTAGGCGAGGGACTCTGTGATAGAGATAACCGCACAACTTAACTCAAGATCTCAGATAGGATAGATCTAGAGTGGCAGAGTAGAGAGCGATAGAGCGGTCCAGTGCGTGGAACGTAGACACGCTGAAGCAACTACCCAAGCTTAGTAGCTGATCTAATTCGCGAACCGCGACCGTTACTGAAATGGCGAAACGGTGAAACGGTTAGATACGATCTTGCTCACTTGAGTTTCCTCAATGGTACTGTCGTCACCGGACAGCACGATGGGTTGCGTGACACCTATTTCCGTCCAATCGAACGGGTAAAAATCACAGTTGTGGAGCGTCTGGTGGAGACATTAGGGGGCTCTCCAGAGACCCAAGCACTCACGGGGAGTGCTCGGGATGCAGTGGAACGATCGAGATGGGATTGGAGAGTTGTGAGGAATCATCTATTGAATAGATTTGCACGCAAACCCACTCTCATAGCTAAGCTGAACCAACAACTCTCAGCACTCAAGTACTCGGGACCGAAAGACGTAGACCATTTTCTTGAAGAGGCTGAGAGGGTGTTTCGCCTGGCAGAGGCAACGTTCCGGGATAAGAGCGAGCATCGTAGAGTTGTCAAACGGATAGTCAGTGCTCTCCCAGAGAAGGATAGAGTAGACATTATACAGGAGACAAAGAGACTCTACAGAGAGATCACAGGAAGTTATGCGGCATCGCTCGATGAAGAGTGGGCTAGCATGTTCCCGTTCACTACAAGCATCGTGGGGCATGATGTAGAGAAGGGTGAGGAGATAACACTCATTGACATCATCAGGGATAGGTGTAGGACACAGGAGGCTGCGGGGACCGGGATAGAGACCGACAAGGTACACCAGGTGACAAGTTCTCCGGAGAAGGACGCCAGGTCGGGTCAGAAGCAAGAACGTCAAGAGGGTCGTCAAGACAGTAAGGGAAGTTTGGAGGCCTGGGCCAAGCAGTATCCATCAGTTTGGGTGGTTACCATGAAGCAGTTCGACGAGGGGGAGGTCAAAGGCAATTTCAAGCCAGACGATATCAAACGGGTTGGAATGCGACCAAAGGGGGGCGTGCGTAAGCATTATGCCGTGATAGCCTATAAGGATGCCGATCGGGGAGGCGCAGTCGTGAAGGAGGTCTTGAAAAAAACGGAGGGGTCAGACCGTTTCCGGGCTAGGGAATTTGTCTATAAAAAGCCGGGAAACGGTCAGGGCCGGGCATGACTGGAGGAAGTCATGCACCGGCCGATAGAACATCCTCTTATCCACAGCATCGAGACGAGGAAGCAACCAAGGGTTGCGGGCGGACATCGGTGGACCAGTCTCAGTGCGATCGAATT